ATCGCGCACTTTCAAAACGCGCGCCCAAAAACATTAAGCCGGTCACTCTAATATACCGATAGTCGACTACCATCGATATATTTCGTGACCCGATAACCAGTTATCGAGATCGGGATTCTCGTCATCGACCACTCTGGGCACACTCAACGGGGCCTATATAAGCAGAGGCAAGACCCCAGATGAGTCACTTGCGTTTCGACGATCTTCGAGGAAACATCAGCAACAAGGTAAGTGTTCTGGTAGATAGTCTTGGTAGTAGGAGTGGATCCGTAAGAACGCGGTTTATAAATCGGTTCTACGACCTGGACAGGATCACTGGCGTCCCGGTGTGGTTTCCTAGAAATCAGCCCAGACCCAGTCGTGATCACTGAGGCGGCCCGGTTTTCGTAATACAGGCCCACCTCAGTGAGTTCCCCCAGAAGTCACGTTTCCGGCCCCCGACCCGGAAACGAAACGGATGTAGAAACGGCAGTTCGAACCTAATGATGCCCGGCAGACCGAAACTAACGATGCCCTACATTCCCGAATCCCACTAGAAACCAAGTAGATCTCTCCCAACGACCCAGAACACTTCGACCCGACGTACGCACGACGAAGCAGTTCATAACTCGGCCCATCCGCAGCGCCGATACTCGCAGCAAGCAGTCCATCACTCGGCCCATCCGCAGCGCCGATATTCGCAGCAAGCAGTCCATCACTCGGCCCATCCGCAGCGCCGACACTCGCAGCAGGCAGTTCATCACTCGGCCCATCCGCAGCGCCGACACTCACAGCAAGCAGTTCACCACTCGGCCCATTCGCAGCGCCGCCAGCAAGCAGTCCATCACTCGGCTCTTCCGAAGCGCCGAATCGACAGAACAAGCAGTCCCGACGCATCTACACACAACTACACGATTATACGATTACTTTGAAATACACGTCTCTGTGTCATTATTGGGGAAAGGGAGGTAAACCGATCTATAGAGGAATAAATATAAATATCTGTCACGAACCCTGACCACGGCGAGCTATACCGCCTCCCAAAACAGGGTCGTTACAGTATGTACGAGTAGTTATAAGAACCATTTAAAATACTTACCTTATGAGGAAAGGATGCGTCGGTACCTGGAGACCAGGAACCGAATTTTCTCCGAGCACCAGTTAGCCGGCATGCGAACGGTGTCTAGGAAAGTCCAGAAGGCCAGGGATCGATTCCGTAAGAAACGAGCGAAGAGGCGAGAAGTGGTTGCCGCTGTGAAGCGCAGTGGAACGGGAGACCCTCGACCATTCGCTGAAGTCCGGATCCTGACCCAACAGCTGACTGGCTTATTGGACACGGGAGCTAGTGTCAGCCTGCTGGGCAAAGGTGGAAGAGAGCTCGTCGAGGCGTTGGATGTACCAATCCAGAAGTACCTGTCCGTGGTCCGAACGGCGTCTGAAGAGGACCGCACGACGATAGGACGCGTCGAGCTACCTGTGGAGTACAGAGGACAGATAAAGCGGATCCTGTTCTATGTATGTCCATACCTGGAGCAGGAAGCCTATTTCGGAGTGGCAGGCGTTTGGCTTGGCTCCAGCGGTGATAGGCCCCAGCGACCCGGAAAGCGTCAAGGCAGACGAAATCCACGCTAGGGATATGGAGCACTACGCCGAACAGGAAGATGACGACGAGGAGAAAATGGATCCCGAATCCTGGACGTTATCTGAGGCCGACGCACGACAGCTCGCGGAGATCCAGGAGGTGTTTCTCACATTTGAGAAGGATGGTCTGGGAACGACCAATCTGGAAAGGCACACGATCGAGCTGATTGAGGGAGCCAAGGTCTTCAAGGATCGGCCGTATCCCATGTCTCCAGCCAAGCAGAAGGTAGTCGAGGATGAGGTGGACAAGATGCTGGCGCTCGGAGTCATCGAGGAGAGCATGAGTCCGTGGAGCAACCGGACGACGGTAGTGTCGAGACCTGGGAAAGATCGGTTCTGCTTAGACGCGCGCAAATTGAACGATCTGACCGTTAAAGACGCTTACCCGCTGCCGAGTATCGACGGAATCCTGTCCAGAATCGACCAAACGTTTTACATTTCCAGCGTGGATTTGAAGTTCGCATTCTGGCAGATCGAGTTGGACCCGAAGAGCAAGGAACTGACGGCATTTACGGTTCCTGGTCGGCCTCTCTACCAGTTCCGGGTGATGCCCTTCGGACTTTGCAACGCGGCGCAGCGGTTGGTGAGACGTATGGACCGAGTGATCCCAGCTGAGATCCGCTCCAACGTTTTTGTCTACCTCGATGATCTGCTGATACTGGCTCCAGATATCCAGACCCACTTCAAGTACCTTCGGAGAGTCGCGGAATGCCTGAAAGCAGCGGGGTTAACGATAGGTATGGGTAAGTCAAAGTTTTGCTTCAAATCATTGACCTACCTGGGCTTTATCGTTGGTGGAGGTCGTCTACGAATGGATCCGGGACGAGTAGCAGGGATCAGGAGGATGCCAGAGCCTAGGACGATGAAGGAGGTGAGAGGGTTCCTTGGGACTGCTGGATGGTACCGCCGGTTCATAAAGAACTTTGCGACGTTGGCCGCCCCGCTCACTGAATCGCTGAAGAAAACTGGAAATTCTAAGTTTTCCTTGAGTCCAGAGGCTCAGCTTGCGGTAGAAGCTTTGAAGATGGCTTTAACGACTGCACCAGTCCTGGTGCATGCGGACTTCAAGAGACGGTTCTTTATCCAGTGCGATGCGTCACACGTCGGAGTCGGGGCGGTGCTTTTCCAGCGAGACGACGACGGACAAGAGCAGCCAATTGCATTCTTCTCGGCCAAGATGAATAAACATCAGGTAAATTACACCGTGACCGAAAAAGAGTGTCTCGCGGCGCTCATGGCCATTCGGAAGTTCCGGCCATATGTCGAAGGGATGCCATTCACCTGCATCACGGATCATGCCAGCTTGAAGTGGCTCATGTCCATGAAGGATCTGACGGGACGTTTGGCGAGGTGGTCGCTGCAGCTTTAAGGGTTCCACTTCAACATAGAGCACCGAAAAGGAAGCGAGAACGTCGTGGCAGACACCCTTTCACGGTCTGTGGAGGAGCTCGTAGTGAATCCGACGGATTTGTTGGGTTTCGAAACCACCGAGTTCGCTGGAAAGGTTATCTCGAGTTAGTGAAAGATGTGGAAGACAACTTGGAAAACTTACCGGACTTGAAGATCGAGGATGGTCTCATCTTCAAGAGAGTCTCTTCATCAAATTTGGACAACGAGGTGGAAGGCTCGGAGTGGAAACTGTGGATCCCACAGAGTCTAACCCACAGCCTAATTGAGCGTGCACATACGGACCCAACAGCAGCTCATGGCGGAATGGGAAAGACTCTGGAAATCCTCCGACGCCAGTTCTACTGGCTAGGCATGGTTCTCCAAGTCCGCGAGTTTGTGAGTGGATGTTATGTCTGCAAGGAGTCCAAAGCGCCAAATTTCCGGATGCAGGTCGGTATTGGAGAAAGAGTCCAGACGGAACAGCCATTCCAGAAGCTGTATATCGACTTCTTGGGGAAATATCCGAGGTCAAAGAAGGGTCATGCATGGATTTTTATCGTGGTGGACCATTTCTCGAAATTCGTATTCTTGAAGGCCATAAAGGAAGCTACCTCCTCGAACGTCGTCGATTTCCTCATCCACGAGGTGTTTTATAAATTTGGCGTCCCGGAGGTAATACACTCAGACAATGGTCGGCAGTTCACGTCGAAGATCTTCCAGGAGGCGATGGAGAGTTTCGGTATCTCACATCTAAAGACTCCGGTATACTCGAAAAATCGAAGCGTGTTGGCCGCAATCCGGAGCTTTTTAGATGGTGACCATCGAGACTGGGACGTGTACCTTCCTGAGATTGAGGTAGCCCTTCGAAACGCGATCCAATCGGCGATAGGAGAAGCGCCTTTCTTTACGGTGTTCGGACATCATATGTTCCTGAACGGTGCCAACTATAGGCTAGCGAGGAAGCTACAGTCCTTGTGTGACCACGAGATGGCGGGGATGAAGACGGCGGACAAACTCCGAGTGATCCAGGAAAAGGTCCGGAAGAATCTGGAGACAGCCTATGACCGAAGCCGCAAGCGATATGACCAACGGGCTCGAAACTTCATGGCCAAGCCAGGTCAAAAGGTATACCGCCGAAACTTCGTTCTTAGTGATTTTGGCAAGTCGTTCAACGCTAAGTTCGCTAGGAAATTCCTTAAGGCTCGAGTGGTGAAAGCCGTTGGTAACAATGCCTATGAGTTGGAAGACCTGCAAGGATGCCACCTCGGAGTTTACCACGCCAAGGACATCCGGGTATAACCTGAAAAGAGGCAGCATAAATTAAAGGAACGAAACAAAAAAACCAAGGCAGTATTTACCTTTAAGCGTGGGCCCCGCGTAGGTCACCGTTTGGAACTGCATTCGGATTTCGCCAGACACCGATCTCCAATGCTCCCAATGATTTCGTCGAGTGGCCATGGTTCGAAGGCGTCCCTCAAAATCCTTGGGTGGTGTTGCATTTCAAGTTGGAATCGGCTGGAAGAATTAAGAAGGAGGTATTCTTTTTTGGTAGGGCTATCGATAAAGTAGGAGGGTGGCAACTCCTACTGGAGTGGCGCCCCCTTCTGCTGATGTCTTGGCTATCTAGCTATTTAAACTAGCCCGGTTCGCTCTGGGTATGGCTAGGATGGCCTTGATATGTCCAATGACCCAATTTCGAGGGAGGCGAAGGGAATTTGGCGAGATATAGGCATGATAGGCAAATTTTTATATAGTCGCAGACATATTGTCCCAGCGGACAGAACAAAAATGTTAAAATAGTGTTTGTGCCGAAATATAATAAAAAGTGAGTGTTAAAGAAATTTGTGTTAGGTTTAATAGTTTATTTTATTTATAAATAATTATTCGTAGGGCAACCGGGGTCCCAATACAAAGGGCCCCGGGATACTTATATTGTAAGTTCAAATTAGAAGACTTAATTGGACATATAAAATTGGACTAATTAAATATGGAAATTCAAATTGGAGATTTAAATTGGAGGGAATTAAATCTGGAAAATCAAATTGGAAATAAATCGTGATTTTAAATTGGAGGAAATTAAATCTGGAAAATCAGGAAAATACGCACCTTCGGTCGAGCCAGCTACGAGATCTGGACAAACACTACTCGCCTTCCTCGGACGCAGCCAACGCCATCCGACATTCACCGGTGAGTCCGTTCCGGGCTATTAAGACCCACCTGCTTTGGGGTCGTCAGGCTGCCAGTGCGCGCGGCGTTGAGAGGCACCGCCATCAGGCTCGCCTTCGCAACCGCTCCTCGGGGTGTTCCAGGCCCTTACTGCTGCTGGTCTCCGGCAGAGTACGCTGTAGTCGGGGCATAGTTAGCCCGGCGCCTAGCCCAGAAGTGGCTGAAATTATTAACGTTAATTTAACTGTGCACATTACTTAATTTATGTACTTACCTATTGACCTGTAAATTTATCCGGACTTAGACCCGAAAACCTCAATTCTTGTCCTCGTTGTTGCCTGTAAAAAAGGGTCGCGATTATTAGTTTTCGGCGGGATTGTTTACAGCGCGTAATACTTACCGTTTGGCCTGTCCCTTCTTTTCCCTAGGAGCTCCTCAGGATTAGGTGACCCGACACATACCTAGTGTGTGCCCTTTTTTTTGCACCTCGTTCCACTGCGAGTTCCACCAATACATGTCTGGTGGAACATTATTTCCGCGGCGCCTGTAGCCTTTGCCAAAGAAAGGTAATCTTCCGCTTTGACCGCGTAGATTTGTAGACGGTGGCCAAGTTTGGTCGTAAAGGCTAAGGAAAGATGAATTAATTACTAGGAGAGCAAGTTATGTTAACTTTAGTACTTACTGTGGATATTAAATGTACATGAAGACCAAAATGTGCGAGTGAGTTGTCGCTGTGGGGGAGATGGAGCTGTCCTAGTCGCGAGGAGTGACTTGGACCAGCTGATTATGGGTGATGCCTCCGCAGAATCCTCCGGGGCATCCTTGGTTGGGTTGGCGTGCTTGGCTAGGTCACCAATAGCCACCAAAACGCCATATATTTCCCGTCACTTCAATTAATTGCATTGTTTACATTTTGTTTGTTTTGCTTGTTAGTGAAGACCGATATTTTTTGTGATGTGAGACGCGTGTCATCGATGTTTATGTTGTGGAATCTGTAGGGACATTGGAAATACTCCGCCCTGGGGATTCGGGAGCTAGCCGGCGCCGTCCCAGGACTAAATGCAGTTCCATAACAATTGACAGTGGTTCTATCATTGTTACATTATTGTTAACATAAATAGTTTGTGTGTAATCCATTATAGTATTTGTTATTAAGATTTCTTCAATTTGTACAGAACAATTAAATGCTTTTACGATTTTATTTCCTTCGACAACTATTGCTTGATTTATACATGTTTGGTTTAAAATAGTTTTCGGTAAGTTCCAAGTAATTATAAAATTTGGCTCTATATAATTTGTTTCATATTTTTTATACATTTTTGTGTACTTACATTCGGCATTGGCTTGGTTTAATATTCCTATAATGCATTTATTTGTAACTCTTTCTTTTGTGTTAAATGAAAATATTTTGAAAATAATATTTGTCTTCTAAAGGTTCTGTTAATATGTCATTAAATTCATTTGGGTAAGGCAAAATTTTGAATATTGAAGTTTTTATAATGTCTTTTGGGATATGAGAAATTATCAATATTTGATTAGTATTGGTTTGTAAAATGTATTAAAATTAATAAGATGTTGATAGTGTTGATCAACAAGTTAGGTTTGGTTTTCATTTGGCGTGCATTTTGAATTATCGTATTTATTTTCGTTAATTTTCTTTGTTTTCTTATATTTAGACTTATAATGTATTATTTTTCTTCCTCTGTTAACTTCTTCGTAATGATTATCATCTAAATTTGTGATTTTTCCTGTCTTTTTAAACGGATTAGTGGTTTTTGATTTTACTAGTGGAACTTGTCGATATCTAGTATCAAATTCAAATTTATTTCGGGATTCATTTAGTTTTTCTATTTTATTGATTTTATTTGACTGTGTATTATATTTTGGAGTTCCAGCGAAAATAAAAATATCTGCAGGAGTTCTGCCTGTCGTGTAATGTTTTGTTTTATGATTATAGACATAAAGAATAGTTTCAAATTTTGTTAGCTTATTTTCGATGTCTGTTTCACTGTTTATGATTCTTAACTTTTCATTTACTGTTTTATGAAATCTCTCAACGTCAGAAATTCCATTTTTGCTTGTTGTTACATCAATAACAACATCTTCAAATTTTAACCAAAGTTGCAATGCTGCACACATGAAAGCTGAATCTTTGTCTGCTTTAATTTGGTTTGGTTTACCCATTTCATTAAAAACTTTAGTTAATGCTCTGTTTGCTTCTAACCAATCTCGACTGTTGACTTCTATTAAGGTGGCAAATTTTGAATAAATGTCTATACAAGATAAAAATTGTTTATTATCCCTAAAATGAAAGACCGATTTTTAAGGGGATACGGCCACAGCCCAAACCGTAAGAGCAAGAGCAGCCAAATTTTTTCACAGTATTCCATTGGTGGCGTGGGAGCCCACTAAGATCCGATATGTCCCCCCAGTGGCCCCAAACAGCTCCAACATCCATTATTCTGAGCAAAAAAAAGTTGATGTATTTAAGCTTAACTTCTAAACTGGTTGGAATTTCGATATTTGGTTTTTTCCGAATTTTAGGTTTTGAAAAGAAATCTAAAAGAAATTTTTATATCCCCCATAATTTGGGGGCTACATTTAAAATTAACTTTTCAATTTAAAAAATCTAAACCGCTGCTCCGATCAAGATGATTTTTCGCTCAATAGTTATTCTATGGCCCAAATCCTTAAGTTTAGTTTTTCAAGTTTTTAACATTTTTTTAAGTATTTTTAACGAATTTATTTAGATTTTCTAAGTCATTGCGTTGCATTTTGCGGGAGCCTGTCGAGAGAACGAAACCCAGAAGCCAAGAGAACGACGGCCGAGAGAGCAACACCCAAGAAAACTTATGAGGGGGAGGGGTAGTGCTGCAGGGAAAGGGGAGGGGAAAGAGGCAATTTAAGTTAAATTTGTTTAGGATTTTAAAAACTTAAACTGCTGCTCCGATCAATATGATTTTCGATCAATAGTCAGTCCTGTGGATCAAATGCTTAGGTTTTATTTTTCATTTTGTAGCAGAAGTAAGAGCCTTATTTAATTTCCACCATGGAAGAAAATAGAAAATTACTACAAATTCTGTAAGCAAAGCCAAAATGTTTCCAAGTTAAATATTAATCTTAAGATTCGAACTTTTGACCAAATACGTATGTACATATGTATATTTGGATATGTTTTGATTTGCTTATATGTACAATACATGTACATACATACAATGTGTGTGTATGTTTCTATTCGAAAGTAGATAATGATGATTTATTTTACCCGTTTATCGATCAAATGTGGAATCTGAAAATAATACGTTACTTTGCTGTTTTTGTATTGGATGCCAATCTTTTACTGTGTGTACAAAGGTTTTCGTTTCATTCAAAACAAGAAATTTGAAAACAACAAATTCCAATATACAAACAAGTATACATATTTGTGCGCAAATTAAAATTGCATTGATAACATTGTAACTGATAAAAAGTATACAAGCTCACGACTTTTACTTGGATCACTTTCATCCCTAAAGATTAAAAACTGAAAGACCGATTTTTAAGGGGATACGGCCACAGCCCAAACCGTAAGAGCAAGAGCAGCCAAATTTTTCACAGTATTCCATTGGGGGCGTGGGCGCCCACTAAGATCCGATATGTCCCCCCAGTGGCCCCAAACAGCTCCAACATCCATTATTCTGAGCAAAAAAAAGTTGATGTATTTAAGCATAACTTCTAAACTGGTTGGAATTTCGATATTTGGTTTTTTCCGAATTTTAGGTTTTGAAAAGGCCTAATTAAATCATAAAAATTTCGAAGTTAAAAAAAAATAGCCCTAGCTGTAGCATCTTCCGGTATAGCTGCTACCCTGCTCAATGGAGGTCGAACTGCTCATTCTACATTTAAACTTCCTTTGGATTTAGTTAATTTAGAAACACCTCATTGCTCTATTTCAAAGCAATGTAATATGGCTGCGGTGTTTAAAGATTGTAAGTTAATTGTTTGGGATGAGTGCACAATGTCACATAAAGGTGGGCTTGAAGCCATAAATAGAACCCTGCAAGATATTAATGAGAATACTATGTTGATGGGTGGTATTACAGTCCTGCTAGCTGGAGACTTTTGCCAAACCCTTCCTGTTGTGCCAAGAGGTACAAGAGCTGACGAAATAAGGGCCTGTTTAAAATCTTCATTTTTATGGCCACAGATAAAAAAACTAGCGCTCACGAAAAATATGCGAGTGCACTTAAAAGGAGAAAGTTCTGCAGGAATTTTTGCCGAAACTCTTTTAAAAATTGGGAATGGCGTCCATCCAACAGTTGATGGAAAAATAGTTATAACATCACGCTTAGGAAATGTAGCCAAAAACATTCAAGACCTTACATCCAAAATACTTCCTGACATTTCCAACATATCATGTAAAAGCTTAGATTGGCTATCTGAGCGCGCCATTTTGACAACGAAAAATGAAAGAGCAACCACTATTAATAATTTATTGCTAAACTCATTTGATGGTTTAGAAGTCTCCTATAAATCGGTCGACTCTGTTCCTGATGCTGATAACGCTGTTCATTACCCTGTTGAATTTTTAAATTCTTTGAATCCTCCAGGAATTCCTCAGCATAATCTGTCTCTTAGGATTGGAGCACCCGTAATGTTATTGCGAAATTTAAGTCCCCCAAAGTTATGCAATGGGACACGATTGCAGATAAAAGGTCTTCATAAGAATGTAATCGAAGCAACAGTATTTACGGGGTGCGCGAAGGGGGAAACAGTGTTTATACCCAGGATCCCATTAATACCATCCAGTCTGCCGTTTCAGTTTAAAAGGCTTCAATTCCCTCTAAAAGTTTGCTTTGCAATAACTAACTTTGAAGCTGGCTGGACTAGATCTTAGAGAAGATTGCTTCTCTCATGGACAATTTTATGTCGCATGCTCAAGAATTAGCTCTGCCAGTAGCCTTATTATTCTCGCTCCTGAAGAATCTTCAAAAAATGTTGTTTACACAGAGGTTTTAAAGTAATCATATTAATTAACATTATTAAACCTAGAAAGTTTCAGTGGAAAAAACCGCGCCATTTTTTCTACCTCAAAGGTGGTGTGGAAATGGGAAAGTCTTGACAACCGTACTCAAAACTAATTTTAAGCGAACGAAGTCGCAGCAAGCCGAAGCAACGCAGTAGCAGGCCAGGAGCGACGCAACAGCACACCAGGAGCAGCGCAGCAGTGAGCCAGGAGCAACGCAGCAGAAGACAGCGCCAACGGTCAGCAGAATAATAGCAATAAGGCTATATTCTAGAGAATCAATAAACCAGCACCAACCTAATCATTTCTGGCGTTATCCTTTGGTCACGGGCAGTCACTCAATATAAATTTGGTGGAACGAACTCACAACCTCTCTGAGCCAGCCTCACGTTTACGTGAACGAGCAGAAACTAAAGAATCCGGTCGTTACATCTGGCGCCCTTGAGTGATTGTCCTGACCAAGGAAACAAAAGTTCCGAGATGGAGAAGTCCTGGACTTATAATCTCAGAAAAGAGGACTTCGACGAGGTGAGTCAAGTTCTGGGAATAGAACTGGAGGGCTCAGTCGAGTCGATGAGGAAGACTCTGGGAGACTTCGTCGACCAGACGGCAG